AATATTCATAGATCAAACCATTTTTAATTATCTCATCTAATTGTATTGCATAGCTCAACTTTTCCATTATCCCAAAGAACACTTGATGAGCTAAGAATCATGATTATATAAGTATGTTAGTGATATGAAGTACGGTTAGCAGATAAAAATGTAAAAATAACAAAAAAGAACAGGTAGTTTCAAATAATTTTACTTTGTTTATTGGTTACCAAAATATAACGAAAAACAGTTATTGTATTTTTATATTCTTCCATACTGTTATTACATATGAGAACAATGCATTTTTAACTTTACAAACTAACTGTTCATGACCTATATGCTACTTACAAAATCTGCAACATCTAGATTGGCTGCATGAGATCAGAACAGTTTACTCTAGAGCTACTATATAACATACTAAATTTTATTTATCAGATATGGTATAAACGTAAGATCTGGAACACTGGGTGTCATTTACTAAAACTGGAGAGTGCGCGATGCGCAAAACCTGGTACAGCTTTGCACATCAGCTTCCAGGTTTTTTTTTATACAATTAAATTTTTTTTTAAATTATAATTGCAGTGTACAATATACAATATAGGAGGCTGTCAGGTTGTAAGCAATACATCTTAAACTGCCAGGAAGGGTCTCCTACAAAAAATGGGTTACATATACATCATGTATACAGTGGTGTAAGACAGTGTACAAGTTCAATCAGCTAATATAAAGCAGCTTGTTATATCAGCTTCCAGGTTTTATTGACAAAGCCTATTTGAACAAGCTGAAGTTAGAAGCTGATTGGCTATCATGCACCAGAAGTACCATAAAATATAGCATTCAATATTGTATTGTAAAAGATGGACATATAACTAGAAACTTACTTAAAAACACTTTGTTCTCAGCAAAGTACTAGTTTTTTTTTTAAATCAACAATAATAATATCTCAGAAACTCTTCCTTTCCCACGATTTTTTTTTTTTGGCATTAAGCCCCATATAGGGCATGCAAGTATCTATTATAGCACAGGCTGACACAAATTCTTGCAATTCAAATACAAACATAGCAGTAAAAATTATATGCTAAAAAATACAGTATTGCTGTCTGTGTCAACACTTGAAAGATTTCTCCTGTACTGTTTGACATTTATCAATTAAGAAGGGGGAATTAGTCTCCAAAATGGTAGCACAAACAGCAATAAAAAGTTGACAGAGGTAGAATCCTTTTCCACTCTAAAAAATGGTGAACGGCACAATTCAGATCTGGGAGATATCTGGCTGTTCATACACACAAAGCTATCAGTTACTTTCAGTGTTGTAGACATCATCATGTCATAATTTTACAATGGCCATTGCTGTAGATTTTATTGGATGCAGAAGTCAGTCTTGTACCCTTATATTAAAAAAAAAGAAATTCCAAGTACAAAGCTTTACTTCTGTGCATTTGATTTAAGGGATATGAAACAAAATTGGCCACAGAGAGAAGTTGGGTGAAAAGTTCAAATGGCAAAGTCCATTGATAAAGGTCTAAATAAGTAAAAGGTCTAAAGAGTAAAGGCTTGATGTAATTTTGTAGCCCAGGCTTATGATAAGTCTTTTCATATGTCTGATTGTGCCAGCTAATTGTAGATCTTATTCTTTGCAGGGAATATCCTCACTCTGAAGATTCTAACAATCCTATAGCGGACAGTCCCTCCCCTACTGACTGTGCCACCCCTACCCCAGAGGCACTGCCAACTATCTACCCTGCGCCAGCAGACTGGAAAACCTTAATAGGAGACGTAGGTAAGAATTCCTTTTTATGAGGCTGAGATTGAACCTTTATTTTACATCTATTGTATTTTCTGTATATGAGCATGTTCAATTAATTTTTAATAGCTATACTTGGCAGCAAATGTATATTTTAATACAGAGTTAGACAACCTGAGGCCCTCTATCTGCTGTCAAAGGGCCTTGTATATAAAATTGGCCAAAAAGGAAAATGCCAGTAATTTTTTATGTAAAATCTGTATTATTTAATATTATTTGTTATTATTATTATACAGGATTCATATATCGCCAACAGTTTGCGCAACGTTTTACAATATAAAGGGAGACAGTACAGTTACAATACCATCAAATACAAGAGGGTTAAGAGGGCCTTCTCATAAAAGCTTACAATCTAATAGGGTGGGGCAAGTGGTACAAAGTGTTATAACTGTGGGGAATTAGCTGATAGAAAGGGATAAAAGTTTAGTTGAAAGTGTGATAGGCGTCCCCGAAGGGATGAGTTTTCAGGGATAGAGAGTTCCAGAGAATGGGAGAATCTCTGGAGAAGTCCTGGAAATGAGCATAGGAGGAGCAGGCAAGGAAGCTAGAGGGCAGGTGATTGTTTAGTTTTTGAGGACAAAGATTGTCAATGTACGGGTGATGAAAGATGTACAAATACAATATATGTGAAATAATATACAAGAAGAAAAAAAAATTAAAGGAAACATACAGATAGTAGATATTCATAGATCAGAACACATCCGACATATGTCATTATTAGTATTGCACATGTACCATGGAAAATATCAAATATATGAAAAATACAGGTACATAATGGGCAAATATTGTAAATGAAGATGATTATAAATGTTATAACATAACCAGTCATCTACCATTGGGTGAAGAATAGATAAACAGAGCTGCATAGACTTGATATATGGTAGTATTATATGATTGGATCTATGCGAATAAGAAGAGAGATAAATAGAGAGAGAGTTCAAATAGATCAGATGAAAGAGAAAGAGTAAAAGGGAAAAAAACAAACCAAAAAATGTATCTGGGGAAAGAAGGAGAGGATATTTTTTATATTGAAATCAGTGTGAGTACCTGAATTTGACAGCAGCAGAACTCTGGGAAGGAGAAGCAGCACAAGGCACCGGTCAGTTATTTGTGCAACAGTGGTTGTGTGCTAACAAGGAACATGCTGATAGGAGGAGAGAGCATGGTGACTGAGGGATGTGCTTATCAGGCTGCTGGTTTCCAATCATAACCAAACCACAGGCTGGGGGAGACACAAAACCTGTATGGGCCCTTTCACACTGATGCGGTGTGGTTTGACTGTATTGCCAGTGTGGTGCAGTGTACCCACGGGTTCGGTGTGGGTTAGCTGTGCTTCCTCATAAAGCTCTATTTTGTCCCATGGTTTTGGTGTGTTTTCTGAAAGCACACCAAATCTCCTGCATGCAGGACTTTAAGTGCGCTTTCAGAAAGCACACCAAAACCGCGAGACATAACAGAAGTCAATGAGATAGCGCAGCACCAAACCCATGGGTACACTGTGCTGCAACCATGGGTGCAGCACACTGTGCTTTCACACTGTGCTGCACCCATGGTGTGATCAAACCACACCTCAGCAGTGTGAAAGAGCTCTATGTGTTACTGAGCTGCAGCAGAAGAAAACCTGAGGTGTGTAAATCTTAGAACTGGATGGCCAGAAATCCAAACCTTTGGCAGGTGAAGCAGCTGCTATAGGTATATTTTATCTCTGGTTGTTTGCCTGGAGTTCCATGTAAAAGTCAATAGAGATGCCACCTTTTTGTGCATTTAAAAAAAATCTTAGAGTTTTTTTGGATGATTAACACTTGGTTTAGTGGCATTAACAAAGATTTTACATGGTATATTGTGTGAATAAGGTTAAATTCACACCTTTGTGTACAGATTAAAGCCTAAGTTTAGTCAATGTTTCTTTAATCAGCACAAGGGACTGTACTTACAATCAATGTGAAAGTCCTGATGTCCTTTGTGCTAATGGATGCATATTTTGATGAAATCTTCCATCCTCCGATCCCCTCCAACTCTGCAGCAGTAATCTTCCTGTGCCTAGGGGGTTAATAGAGCTGATGGACTTGTCATAGGCACTCCTCAAGAGTGCTGACTATGCCTGTCGTTTCCACCCCCCCCCCTCCATTTATAGAAGCTGTACTATAGCTTACATAAATGGAACGTGCTCTGTGAATGGAGCATTGACAGATGAATGAAAGGTCTGTCTCCTCCATTCATAGATCACACATTCATGGAAGCTATATTGGACTTATTCAACGAGTCCATACATCAGTGATCACAATGATGCAGAGTGAAGTAACTCATTAAATCAGATTTTATCATACTGTAGTCAGGTTAGTTAAGAGATGATTTATGGCACTTCATACAGCATCATTGTTTTAAGGCTGTTTTAGAGCGCACATTTTTTGCTCATTGAATGATAGTTATCATCAAAGACAGTAAAGCTGTAGAGTGTCAAGCCTGTTTTTTCTGCCAGGCCCATAACTCATTGTATTTGTCAAAAATATTTACTATAGTATACTGAAACAAATTTTAAAAAGGACTATTTCAAGACAGATGAGATTACATCACATTCATTATGTTTTAAGCATATGAAAAATTTGGTCCAACAGGCAAATTATTTCCAGAGCCAAAATTGCAGCAGGGATTTTTCAGCATGGTTATTCATGTCCCATTACGCATGAGATGGAAACAAAATGTTCCAGTTCATATATTGTTTCTCCATGGTTTACAACTGAATAAAGACTCAGCATGACAACTAGAAAAAGCTAGAAATCTAGTTTTAATTGGTTGAGACAGCCAAAGTTAGAAGCTTTTGATTGGCTAAGCTTTTCTGGTTGTTTGTACAGATCGATGTACCTCTTGTCTAGCATATTAGAACCTACCCTTTGAAGTCAGTGGAGATGTATAGTTCTCGGATGGTTGACATGGGAACCATTTACGGTTTCTGGCAAATGTAAAATTATACAGCAGTGGTCCAGGAAACCTTACTGCTTCAAATGCTGCCTTTTACCTAAACAGGATATTTATACTTGTGACCTTATGGATTCTGTTTGCCTGCAATTATTCTTTATATCAATTTTTTCCTGCATGCTATGCAGATACACTTAATTTTTCTTTGTATTTTTTTTAGCATTAAAATGTTTAGTCTTTTATGGTAGAGAATATTGTATCAATTTCTGTTAGGTGTAAATTAATCCTTCCTGCCCCCAAGCCAGGGGCGGACTGACAACTCATGGTTCCCCCGGGCAATAGGGGATCATGGGGCCCCTGTGTCCTTGCCCAAATTCAAAAAAGCCTCCGAAAAAGGTACCAGGGGCATCTCATGGGGCCCCCTACTGACCCCGGGCCCTCGGGCAGTGCCCAAGTTTCCAAATGGTCAGTTCGCCCCTGCCCCAAAGCCAACTATTCTGTGCTGCCCCCTCTTCTACTGCAGTTGACAGATTAAATGAAGTATCACACTAACTTGTGAAAAGATAACATGCACAAAGGTCACCAAGGCTTAGGGAAGCAAATGCTAAAACCTTGTCCACTTTTTTTGAAGTATTTTTCAACACTCTCCATGCATTTTTAAGGGTCAAGTGCCACACAGGAGCTTCTTTTGGGCAGGATTGCGTATTTTGTGGCCCCAAATACTTTTATCATGGTAGTGCTTGAAAGACACAAGTAACAAGCTTTTTTGAACATATTTTGCCTGCTCCTGTTGAAGTAACTGGGGCCCAAAATGCCCCATTCTTCTTCGAAAGTTGTTCATGAATCTTTTGGAGCATCAGATGTTGAGCTACAGGTGCTGGTACTCTCATATGTGAACAGGGACAATTTAAAAGCATGGTATTTGGCTTTGTCGGGATCAGAGGGGTAAACAGGCTCTTTGTAGAAAGTTCAGTAAACTGAAAAACAGGTACATCTTCCCATCAGTACAACACAATCTTACATGAATAACTTTCAGCGTCGCAGCCACAGCATACACAGCATTTTAAAATCTCTGTTAAAGGCAAGCTCACCCAGCAGGGCAAAGTCAGATTATGGAGGAATCCAGGCAGCATCCAGATCTCCTTGCTCCTGACAGCAATACTTCCATCAACCAGCCTCTCTGAGCATCTGCTTAACCCCTTCATGCCTAAGGGTAAAACAAATCCAAATGCCTAAGCACAATTTTGCAACGTTGACATGTGTTAGTAAAACTGTACATATCATCACAACTTTTTTGTACATCCAGGTGGATTATATCGCGTTTTTTTTCAGGACAAATTGGGCTTTCATGTGGTGGTAAATGGTAATGGATATCTCCTGATTTTTTTTTATTATCAAAGGAAAACTGGCTCAAAATAGTTAAAAAAAAATCATTTTTTTTATTTAGCTGTGTGTTTCTAGTTACTACCACAACCTACCACCAAAGAACAACCCAAAATAAATTCTCCAGCTCTTGACGATCGCAGCAATACCATATATGTGTATGTTTTTTTTTTAAATCCTGACCTTTGAGCCTGACCTTTTGACCTTGACCTCTGGCCCTGACCCAAACAATAACCCTGGCACTGAACTAGATCAAACCTTGATCTAGGTATTTTTTCTTTATTTTTTAATATTTATTTATCTTTTTTTTTTCTTTTTTTTTCCAAACATTTTTTTTTTCTCTCTATGCCAGGAGTTAGAGAGATACAATGTATCTCTCTTCTCCATTCATAGAGAGGAAAAAAAACAAGGGGGCTGGGCTGTACAGTGACTGATCACTGTGATAGCCAATCAGAGGCTATCACAGCCATCATGTGACCTGGAATCAGGAGTCCCAGGTCACGATCGTTAGAACAGGACCCGGGGCTCTCAATGACACTTGTCAATGGTCTCTGTGCTGGGAGTGCGCAGTGCGGTGCGCTCAAAGCACAAAGACAGGTACGCAAATATGCGGCCCCACGGAAAAAAGCCCAGTTCCTTGAGGCCGCATATTTGTGTGACGTTGGCGTCAAGGGGTTAATAAACAGGCCTGAAGGAGAAGTACCTGCCCTCTACAATGAACCCTCTCTTAAACTTACTCCAGGGTATTTCTCAACATAGTTACATAGTCTGACTGAAAAACGACCAAAGTCCATCCAGTTCAACCATTAAAAAAAAAAAACAACTTATTGAGCATTTTGAGCTTTGAGATCCTTTTGCACCAGTTCATCTTTTGCACAAAAAATAATAAATGCACATTTTTTTTGCAGGTTCCAACTAAAAATGGGTGGAACATGTAACATGTTCCCAAAGGTAAACTTACCCTTTAAGCTAAAAAAAAAAACATGAATGGGGGCTTAGGGTTCATGTTGACAGGCATTGTAGACAGATGCTGCATTTTCCATTCACACACATGCAACTGCATTAAATGTGATAATACTGGCATTTAACCAGAAAAAAAATTGGGTTTAACTTGCTTTGTCCCAATTTTTTTTATTTCTTTATTTTTCAAATTCTTCCCATAAGGTAGAGACAAAGGTTTACACATATAGGTCCATGAAATCATGCTTAGTATAAATTACTCAGATATGCACCATAAATACAGAGGCCTAAGCAGCAATACTCTATACACATAAAAAAGGGAAAAATGAGTTTCCATGACCAGACAATTTTAAGTGATATAAATTAGATATTTATATATCAGAAACAATGTGCAGGCACGAAATACCAACTGTGACAGATTTACCTGAGAAAATACACAAGGGGAGGTGAGCACCCAGGCCTTCACTACCTTTAAACCCCATAAGAGAGTAGCAGCTGGCCAGGGTAAAGACAGAGAGGAATGTGACCAGCGGTAGCAGAGGTGATGTTTACAAACTGGGGCTCAAGAGGGAAGAGGAAAAAAGAAGAAACAAAAAGGGGGGGGGGGGAGAGGGAAGGATTTGGAAAGTGGTAAGGCTAGTGGGGGAGGGTTGGAGAAGAGGTTGCTTTCCAGGGGGATCTACCCAACCAGATCCGGGGATCAGAAAGCTAATCAAGAACCTGTGTCCCTATTTAAACCCACCTTAATATAACATTTTACATCCGAAGAAAAACAGCACAGTCCAAAGCAGGTCAAATGTAGCCTCTGGCCTTCATGTGTGTACTGTTCAATTAAAGGCAATAGGAGTTTGCTAACTTGCATTTAAAGTGCATTCCAAATGCACCTCAAACCCAGAAAAACAACACCTGCTGACATGAGCCCTTCCTGTGCTACGAGGATCGTGAAGGCCAACTAAGGTTCCATGGTCTCCACTATCAGTTGTGTGAGTCCATCTCTTGTGACCTGGTATTAAGTGGATTTGCTGCATCCTACAGCACTCTATGCGCTAGAATTTAGATTTAGTATTGCAAAATGAGATCTGTGCTTCTAAGGAACATTGTGTGACATCATCTTTCTTTCTTCCTTTAAGAAAATAACCCAAAATAATCATAGAAGAATAGTGACAGAGGAGCTCCTGCCCACATTAGCAGCTAATTTCAATAGTGCTTAAGGCATTCACGACACAGAGAGTGAGAATCACAGTTTTAAAACCACTTTTTCATATCAGTTTACACGGCACTAAAGCAATTATATTTTATATATGCTATATTAAATGAGTCTGTATATTTAGTGGTTAAATAATGAGCTTTATACAGTTAGCTGTTATGAAAAACAAAGCACTTTTTTAACCTTAATTAAAATATAACCTAAGGTGATAATTAATTTGTTTTCTTCTGGAGAGTTCCTGTACCAGGAATACAGAGATAAATCTACACAACATGAGATTCAAGCTCGAAGACTTCAGGACAGTTATGCACAGCCTGCTAAAACTCCAGATAGCCCTAAATCACCAGAAGAGGGGTCACCCCCAGCTACAGAACATCATCGGTCTAACTCAACGTTCAGCCGCTTGCAAAACACATGTTCTGGCTTCAACCTGTGGCAGGATCTGCCAGAAATCAAAAATAGCAGAGTTCTGACTGTGCTGCAACCACAAGAAGTCAAACTTCAAGAAGTAAGTTTAAACGCCTTTAACAAAATGCCGTTGCCAAACCATGCTGATCATTTTAAAGTAACTATATACATTCTTCTGGCAAACTCCAGAAGTGTAGGACCAAATGTTGGACTTAATATCTGAACTTTGGCTACCTATTGCTTGTATTGCTTTCTCTGGCCCCTCCACCCCACTCCCCCCACTAGTACTTGGCAACCTGTTCAACCTTGGACAGCAAACTTCCCTTGTAGTACTGGCATTGGTTGCCCTTACAGTGTATTACAGGATAAAGTAGGATTTGGAACTTTGGAATGGTGTTTTTTCCTGCAGGTAATTGTGTTGACATTTTGGGGGAGTATTACTAAACCTGGAGCATGCAAAATCTGCTGCAGCTCTGTGTAGAATCCAATCAGCTTCCAGGTTTTTTTTGTCAAAGCTTAATTGAACAAGCTGACGTTAGAAGCTGATTGGCTACCATGCACAGCTGCACCAGATTCTGAGTGCTCAAGTTTTAGTAAATATGCTCCTTTGTGACTTACCCTATAGCCCTGGGGCTCCTAAAGGAAAGCTTTACAGAGCAAAATACACATGGTGCCACTGCTGACTTTCCTTTAAAAATCCTGGTGTCCTGGCTATGTAAACTGGGCCCATATGGCTCTTGCTTGTCACAGATAGAATACATACAGCTTGCAAAGTCAGACCTCCTGATCTGCACACTTATCCCTCACCAGCCATTCATGTATTAGCATGAGAGCCAGGCATTTTCAGGAGAGGTTAGCAATAGCAACCTCCATGTTTCTTTCAATCTTTTCTTCATTGACCATGCAAAGAAAACCAGGCCACCAGATAATATATTTCTCTGCTGCAAGTAGCCTTATTCACAACAGATTTGTCAAAACGGTGTCTGTGTTGTGTGTGGATGGTAATCATAAAAGAATCACACATAAGCATGAATTTTAGAAACATATGACTGCATCTTCTATCCTGTTGTTTAGAATCTGAGTGAGTATATGGAAAAATAAAGAATCACTCAGTTTGGGAGAAATGGTGGGTCTGGGTGCTTAACAGTCATGATAAGTCATGATAACGCACGTTCCTAACCCCAGAAACCACTAAACAGCTCATCCACTCCCTCATCGTATCACGACTCGACTACTGCAACTCCCTCCTCACTGGCCTACCTCGCCGCTGGCTATCCCCGCTTCAGTCGATCCTGAATAAGGCTGCCAGACTCATTCACCTTTCCAACCGCTCCATCTCCGCCACCCCCCTCTGCCAATCCCTCCACTGGCTTCCGATTGCGCAACGGATCAAATTCAAAATCTTAACACTGACGTACAAACTGTCCACCATACTGTCCCGTACTACATCACTGACCTAATATCCAAGTACCGCCCAGCACGCACACTCCGCTCCTCACAAGACCTCCTTCTCTCTAGTTCCCTGGTCTCCTCCTCCCATGCCCGCCTCCAGGACTTCTCCAGGGTGTCACCCATCCTCTGGAACTCCCTGCCCCAACCCATCAGATTATCACCTACTCTCCTCTCCTTTAAGCGCACCCTGAAAACCCATCTCTTCAGGGAAGCCTACCCCACCTCCTGCTAACCTGCCGACCTCCTCCACTCTTCCTACCACTCCATCCCCCACAGCTATCTCCTCCTGTACCACTATCCCCTCCCTCCTAGATTGTAAGCTCGAAAGAGCAAGGCCCTCGATCCCCTCATGTTTTGCATTGTATTGGTATTGTTCGGTCACATGTTCTGTCCCCCTTTGTAATGTAGAGCGCTGAGCGAACCATTGGCGCTTTATAAATACTGTATTATAATATTAATAATAATAATAAGGACTGAAAATTCTTTACAGTTAGTCGAAATTAGAAATCTGACCAACCTATAATGAAGCACAAGTGTGTACTGATGTTCATACTTTGTGCTACAGATAATTGGTGGTTCATTTGCTCTTTATGTATGGCATGGTGGGACCTACTGCTGATGGTGCCACAACACACTTGGGAAAAAGGAGTGAACTTAGAAAGTGAAGTGTATAGTGAAGTAACTGTTAAGCACCTAGACCCACCATTACTCCCAAATTGAGTGATTGTTTATTTTTCCATATACTCAGATTCTAAACAACAAGATGGAAGATGCAGTCATATGTGTCTAAAATTCATGCATATGTGTGGATTTATCAAATATATCCAAACTTGGGTAACAACTTAGCGCTGTAGCACTTCCAATGAGGAACATAGTCCTACAGGTGTTTAATATTTTTATCTAGTTCTGTCACTCTGCGTTAGAATTCCTCTCTAGAGGAAGTTTTAGTAGCTAAACTGGGTACTTTCACACAATTACTTTTTTATCAAGAGAGGCTGAATTTAGTTATTTTATAACATATGATGACGGAGTTAACTCGTATAATTGTTGTGCTTTTAGGCCATGTTTGAACTGGTGACTTCTGAAGCATCTTATTACAAGAGCCTACGCCTTCTTGTGTCCCATTTTATGGAGAGCGAGAGGTTGAAAGCTACTCTGCACCCTTCAGAAATACACTTCATATTCTCCAATGTACTGGAGGTCCTGTCCACAAGTGAAAGGTAAGTCCTAGATAAGCATTCCTACCGAGCCAAAGGAGTTGACTGTCATCACCATAGGTGCTTTTATAAGAGTCATTCTCCCCAGTACAAACATACAGGCTCACTTTCATTGTTAGAGGGGAGATCTCATCACAAAGTAGTTATTGACTGTCTGATGCAAGCTGTCCTACAGGCGCTTAATATTAAGGATCCAACCACCACTAACAGTGGCACAGGCAAAGCCAGGCTTTCATAGCCACAATTGTTCTAAGTTTATTGAAAATCCTTAGCAATTTTATATCTTCTCTAGAGAGTGGAATGATCCTGATTTATATATATATATATATATATATATATATATATATATATATATATATATATATATATGCTCTTTGATTTCCTTCTGCCTATTTCCTGAGGAATTGGTGCTCTTTAACCAGTTTACCTGTACCTTGGTGTTCTGGGCTGCTGTTGTCACGTACCTGATTGGAGACTGAAATGATGAGGTCGGCCTCACTTGTGTCACTAGCCCTGACCCCACTGGAAGTGGAACAGAGGGTGTCTAGGGACCAGGGGGACAAGAGCGCCAGCAGATGTTGTTTGCAGCTCTTGTGGTTGGAGACTTTGGAAGAGTGATGCACCTCCGATTAAGGCACAGTAGTGATATGCAGAGCTGGTATGGTAGATCGCCAGGTGTGCACCAGAGCAAGGCAGGAAGCAGGGAAGGGAGACAAGAGCAGTGTCAAAGGAATAGCCAGAGTCATCAACGGGCGGACAGCAAGGTACCAAATCATAAGCAAGCCAAAGTCAGGAGCAGAGCCGAAGTCAGGAACCAGTATCAAGCAGGAGAATAATCAGAGTCAGGTCAGGAACAAGCTGGGTCAGCAACAAGGAAATCACACAGGAACAAGCAGGAAACAGGGAACAGCTGTAGTTACTGTGCATGGTTTCTTTGGAATGCAATGGTTCTGACAATATTCGGAAGGGAAAAGGATCTCCCCAGAAAACCAATTGATGGATGGGTTGTACGCTCTTATCCAGGGCATGCCGAGGATGACCAGAAATATTGGTGAAGTTATGACATCCAGACATAGAAATTCCTGATGTCCCGAGGAGGAGTGGCAGAAAATTGGCATAGTCTTTTGTGTCACAGGACCAGAACTAATACCAGAGCCATCAGCCAGATGGACCGAAAGTCTTTGTGTCTTAGTACGGAGGGGGATCTTATTTTGGTTAGCGAAGGTCGAATCCACGAAGCAGCTACAGGCACCAGAGTCTATAATTGCTGGAACAGTAATAGTTCTTTCAGCAAGTTGTAAGTGAAGGTGGAAGGAGAGGTGAATTTGACTGGTTCCTTGGGGGTGCATCATATGGAACCAGCTAGAAGGAGAGAGGTCTCACTGGACACGTCAGTACATAGTGACCCGCATCACCACAGTAGAGACAGAGGTTGGAGTTTTGTCGTCGAAGACGTTCAGCAGAGGATAATGGTGGTCTCCAGAAGCTCCTTCTAGGAGAATTATGATGCCTTCTTTTACTGGGGAGTATGTCTGATGTGACAGCAGTGGTTGAAGGAACAGGAGACTCCATCTCTGAGCATATCAAGACACCCCTGTTAGTTTGTTCATCCCGCCTTTCCCGGATCCGTCGATTGATTAGAATGGCAAGGTTTATCAGGTCCTCTAGCCTGGTTGGTACCCCAACTTGGGCAAGCTCATCTTTCAGGGTGTTAGAGAGGCCAAGGCAAAGCTGATAGCAGAGAGCAGACTCATTCCATTGAGTGTCAGAACTCCATATATGGAACTCAGTGACATATTCCTCTATAGGCCTTGGGCCCTGCTGTAGCTTGCTAAGCATAGATTCTGCAGCCTGACGATGGAAGGAATCAGCGTAAAGTTGTGACATCGCTGAGAAAAAAAGAGTCCGTAGAAGTCAGAGCTGGATCATGTTGCTCATGAAGGTGGTGTGCCCAGGATTGGGGTTCATTCTGAAGGAGTGAAATAATGAATCCCGCTCTGGTGCTTTGTGATGCAAAGGTCTTGGTAGCAGAGAAAAATATAGCTCACAGGGGTTACGAAAGGTTCGAAACTTCCTGCGATCTCCCGTAAAAAACTCAGGTATTGGAACCTGGGGTTCCGGTGGAGGAAAAGTTCCATGAATCATGCTGAGCTCTGTCTCTGTAGTTATGTCTGAGACTGCAGAGGGACCCATGGCTGTTGAGACATCTGACTCAGGTATTGGAACCCGGGGTTCCGGTGGAGAAGTTCCATGAATCATGCTGAGCTCTGTCTGGGTAGTTATGTCTGAGACTGCAGAGTGACCCATGGCTGTTGAGACATCTGACTTGGTGGGTAGTTAGTTTTCCAAGTGCTCAAGGTTTCTTTGCAAACTCGGCACCATGTAAGACAAGGCAGAGATTGATTGACAGATGTCCCTCATTGCAGAGGCCTCCCTTTCAGACTCCATCACTGGCTGACTGGTACTGTCACGTACCTGATTGGAGACTGAAAAAAAGAGGTCGGCCTCACTTGTGTCACTAACCCTGACCCCACTGGAAGTGGAACAGAGGGTGTCTAGGGACCAGGGGGACAAGAGCGCCAGCAGATATTGTTTGCAGCTCTTGTAGTTGGAGACTTTGGAAGACTGATGAACCCTCGATTCAGGATCAGTAGTGATATGCAGAGCTAGTATGGTAGATTGCCAGGTGTGCACCAGAGCAAGGCAGGAAGCTGGGATGGGAGACAGGAGCAGTGTCAAAGGAATAGCCAAGGTCATCAACTGGTGGACAGCGAGGTACCAAATCATAAGCAAGCAAAAGTCAGGAGCAGAGCCGAAGTCAGGAACCAGTATCAAGCAGGAGAGTAATCAGAGCAGGTCAGGAACAAGCCGGGTCAGCAACAATGAAATCACACAGGAACGAGCAGGAAACAGGGAACAGCTGAAGACCAGTCAGCACTCAGCACAGGCAGAGGCACCTTTTAAATAGTCCGTCTGGCGCCAATCTTCGCCGTGCGTGTGTGCGTGCGTGATCATGCATTTCTGTGCGCATGCACACGTCTATTCGCCAGCCGTCTCACGGGAATTCCCTTAGAGCTGTGGGGGGCGGGCATTAGTCCGTCTCAAGAACTTGTATTTCATGGCTCCTGTATATCCCATTAATACAGTGGATTAGTTGCTTCTATTACATATGTGATGCCTTCCTGGATGGAGGATGTGTGATTGAGCACGTTGGTTCTGTGGTGGTGGCATTAAGTCCTGTAGCTCAGGTGTTTGTTTTTGGACCAGCTTTCAAGGAATCTTTGTTATTTTATGGGAGATCAGTCATTTGTGACCCCTTGAATGAAATTGTTAAAGACACCACTGGAAGAAAGAGAGCAATTAATTTTCCCAGATGCAAAGACTGATGTCTGCTAGGTCTCTGTTAAAGAAGGGTCATAAACTGTTAAGTCAAAATGCAGGAAAGGTGAGGTCAGAGGGTTACTGGAGCAGACACAGTTGATCATAGATGTCTACTGGCATGGTTATCCAATGTCTTTTTCCATGTCTATCCTTGTATACTTGCTACTTACAGAAATGAGGGCTAACTCCTTCTATAATATGTTAGAAATGCATCTTTCCTCATTTCCTTTACACTTCATAGTTTTTCTGAGTCTAGTGTATTATTTAATGTTTTTAAATAGCAGTAAAATATTTGTGCCATGATCTCTTGTCGCTGCCTATGTTTTTAGGTTTCTTCTGGATTTGGAACAGAGATTTGAGGAGAATTTGGTGATTTCAGATGTCTGTGACATTGTATACGAGCATGCAGCCAATCACTTTGGGGTCTACGTCACCTACGTCTGCAACCAGACCTATCAAGAGAGAGCATACAGGAAGCTGCTGTGAGTTCAGCAATGGCAGAAATGTAAATGTAACCAAGCAACCTCTGCTCTCCTCTCACGTTTGTCATTCTGTGTGTCTCTATAGCTTTGCTATGTGTTCATGTGTTCTATATTGCATGTCTTGGACTCTGTAAAGTATTGAGCAACAATATGATCTCTGATAATGAGGAAATTGGTCATCAAACTTTGACCAAGCCAATGATTGTGCCCTGACACAATGAGATCACTCCATAAAATTGTCCTTTGACCTTGTGATGTCAGTATGCTATCACATTGTGATCCACCCCCCCCCCCCCCCCCCCCCCCCCCCCCTCTATGGATAGCCTTGTCACAATGTGCCTTTATCTGGTTTCACCTTGTAGCTAATGATTTTCCTGGCTGACCACAGATCTGTCAAAATGCTCTGAATATGTAAGCCACAAAAATTATTCAGCAATTAATGTACACTACTATCTATATACTATTATTACTATAATACAGGATCTATGTAGCACCAACAGTTCATGAAACTCTTTACAATATAAAGGGAGAAAGTACTGTTACAATATAGTTCAATACAGAAAGATTAGGAGGGACCTGCTTGAGAAGCTTACAATCTTATTGGGATGTTGGGGGGTTTACAAAGGTAATGACTGTGGGGGATGTACTGATGAGGTGGTGAAAGCACAGTTTTTAGGTGGAGGCAGAGTAGGCTGTAAGCCGTGTACCGGGGTGGGCTCCCCAGGATACAGTGAAGTCACGAACGAGGAAAGCAACCTCAACACCAGCTTTTGCCAGAACAGAATTTTACTTAGATGTGGCAAATAAACACAACCACAAATGCTGGAAACATACAATAAATTTACATACACCCAGCCCAAAGGCTGAGTCCCTTGTGCTGCACAGCCTTCTGATGAATGAAGGTAGAAAGTGAAGTAATTTACCTACTGGCGGGCACAAATAAGCTGCCACACCTTACCTGTTATTACCCTAAAAGAGCAAGAATCAGTGTATGGGTGTATGGTATGGACTAGCCTGCGGTGCAGCAGAACAGCTTACAATCTTACACAAATCTACAGTATTCCCCCTCCCATAACTGGTCCTGTAGCACATGCCTGAGTATTCCTTCTGAGCAAAACGCCAGTCTGGCTTGAGTTTGTGAGATTTTATCAGCTCTCCAATGTGAAATGTCACTTTAAGTTGTGGAGTCCTTCCAATAATCAGTAACAACACTTGTGGCCTGACAAAACAAAGACCCTAACTAACTAATTATAGGCCTGACCTCAGTCTCTAGGCGCCAACACTGAAATGAGGTACATGCACGATCTTACCGACCCGGGTCTGCTTTGCATCCGCTGGTGACTCTGAACAGAACAAACGTCTCTCCAACAAGCATGCGGTATCACAGTATATGCTGCTTAGTTCCTCTGCTCTCATTAGCATTCCTGGCAGCAATCTTCCTTTCTCTGAACAGGATCAGGGTCTTGGACACAATCAGCTTCACTTAGCTGCACCTCTGGTTACTGAGGGATGCTTTCACACATGTCATCAGATTCTCAGCTCACAGGGCCCCTTATTTACCATGCTCCAAAACATGTCTTCTCTCTCTCCTTCCTGTTCTCTCTCCACTCTGTGTGAAAACCCCACCTCTTCATGAATATACAAATATCTATGCAATCTGAGGCTGTGTTAGAAAAACAGTGACATCTTGTGGCTAAACCGCAGAATGTCAGTCAAAACATTTAATTTACTCCACACAATAATTTACTTCCACACAAACAGTGTTCAAACAATGAGAGCTGTTTCCCCATCTCACAAGGCTGCCATGAATAAATGAGTTTTAGGGGATCTCTTAAGCCCTGGTTTACACCAGTGCGACTTGTCATGCAATTTGACAGTTCTATTGTTCGCAATTAAACCATTCAAAGGTTCCTGCACTATTTATTTGCGATTTCAGGTGCGACTTGCATAGACATCTGTGCATGAAGTCACACAGATGTCAGCCAAGTCGCACTGACATGTGGCCTTGAAATCATGTGATTCTCTCTGATCTTTCCTTCCTCACAGGGCAGATTGATAGCAGCAGCCATTGGCCAGAATACGCTACATTCTACATCTGGTGTTTCTGACTATAAATGCATATCTTCATTCAGCAAGAGGCAGCAATAAAAGCTACCACTGACCGTGGCATTGCTCAGCTGCAAACCAGTCAGTACCCCTAAAACAACAATTGAAACATATTAACATCTGCTTTCAGTTTTATAAATTAACAACTCTAATGATCAACTGAAAAATGCTGCTGCAAATCTGCATCTGATTGCAAAAGTTAATGCAGCGTTGCCATCATTTACGACCTTAGTAGATCCCTGTGGACCCACCAGTAAAGTGCCTTCACTGACATTTTTTTTTAACAATAAACTTCATTCAAGCGTAAGAAGGCAAAACATAACAGTGGTACATATTCGGCAAACAAGCAATGATTACATAGGATTTAAAATACCTAGGTACACATTACATATCGGGCAGGATATATAAAATACATATATCAAAGACAGCACTTCTATTCCCACCTCCGCCTAGTCAGTGGGAAGAAAATCTAAGGGAAATGACTCATATACAAGTTACAGTGCAACTGACAAAAAGAGGGGTAAAGGAAAGGGGAAAAGAGAAGGGGAGGGATAAAAGTAGGGGGGGGGGGGTAGGGGGTACATGACATGTATGAGGATGAGTCCCCTGTAAATCAATAGAGGAGGCCATTCCACCTCAATAGGCAGCAGAGAATACTCTATGGAGAGCAGGAGACCTGTAACCTTTTATAGAGAGCCTTCACTGACATTTACTACAATGCATGTCATCAGCCATGGTTCTGATGTTGGATTATCCTTAGTGTTAATGTGCAACACAAATTAGAGCGATACTAAAGGTTCATTTTTTTTGTAAAATAACAAACACGTTATACTGACCTGTTGCATGCAGTGGTTTTGCACAGTGAAGCCTGGATCCTCCTCTTCTTGGGTCCCCTGCCAGTGCTCCTGGCTCCTCCTTTCTGTTGGGTACCCCCAAAGCAAGCTGCTTGCTGAGGGGGACACCTGAGCAGGCGCATTCCCAAGCTGCTATTCCATATGTCCATTCACACATGGAGCCATGGCTTGGCCCCGCCCCCTCTCTCCTCATTGGCTGACTGGCTATGATTGACAGCAGCAGGAGCGGCACAGCCGATGGTGTTGTGCACATTGATGGATCACAATGGAGCTCAGGTATTGAGGGGTCGGGGCACTGCTGCACACAGAAGGTTTTTTATCTTCATGCATAGAATGCATGAAGGTAAAAAACCTTGAGCCTTTACAACCACTTTAAACTAGAACTATAGGCAATTTTTTTTCTATTTTGGATAGAGCAAAGGGAGAGTTAGAACCCCTGTCAGATTTGTGTTCGCCATCTGTGTCCCATTATGGAGATCTCCCTTCAGGAAGTGAGAGGAAATCCTTCCAAATAAGGGAACTCCAAATTAAGGGAATTCTCTGGGGACCCCAGGTAACCAGAACCAGTGTCCTCAATGGAAAATTTCCCCTCTATTACTTCCCTGGGGATAACCCAAAATTCGGGATTTACTTTTACTTTTACTTTCAATGATAATGTTAAACAGGAAAAATAAAAAGGGTGAATGTCCCTAATAGGGGCACAAACAGCATTACTCTCTCACTACCAGGTCCATATGTCGTATGGACCTAGAGCAATGCTTCTAGCTGGCCAGGTCCATACTCCACACAGACCTGCATTCCTCCTCTGCTATAAGCTCATGGTTCCTTCAGTGATCGTGAAGGTATAGCAGAAATGTTCAGCAGACTCTGCTGAACAAAAGGATAGCTCTGATTAGTGGCTATCAAGCCGCTTATCAGAGCTATTAACCTAAAATATGACCCCCCCCCCGCACCTCTGCTTCTATGTCCTGTGTTTCCTGTCCCTCCACCCACCTATGCTGACTTCTAAAATGCCCCCCGCCCCCCCGACTGTCCATAACACTGCACCACCCTGGATACCCTGTTTACTCCCCCCCAGCACCGCCCCCCCCCCCCTTCTTGCAAACCGCCATTTCTCTGTGGCTGCCATGCAGCTTTCGGCTTCCCTCCTCTGCCTCTCCCGCCTACTTTCAGTGCTGTAGAGCAGCCACAGAGGGATTAGTCAGTCAAATCAGATACCCCCCGTGCTGCTCCGACCCCAGTTCATTGCCCCCCCACCTCTCTGATGGCTAGGCGCACCTCCCCTGAAGAGGCTAGCCAGTTCTCCCTCCTTGCTCTTCCATTGACTTCAGCTGCTGACAGATCACTGTCAGCTTGGAGAGGGGGGGGGGCCCCCATGATTGCCCGGCTGGCATACCCCCCCATCCATCCTTCAGGTCTTGTATGAAGGGGAACCCCCAGGCCAAAATTTAAAAAAAAATGGTGTGGGGTAAAATCCATACCAGACCCTTATCTGTGCATCTCAGCTTTAATCCCGGCTACCCCCCATGTGAATGAGCTACCCATTTCACGAAAAAAGTGTAGTGTATAAAAAGACAAGAGACAGTCTTTGACAAGTCCTTTATTAAAAATAAAAATTTAAAAAATGTCCCCCGAAGTAGATCCAACGTCAATCACGATGCCCGCCGCCACTGCTGGCTCAAAAAAAGAAAAAAAAAAAAAATCCTGCTTCGCCCTCCATGCTGGCTCCTGCCGTCTGACAGCTGTGCTGCGATGACAGTTCTTGAATAGGGTGATGATGTCACATGGGAGCCGGATTATCCCCACCCCCTGTGATTGGCCTGTGGTCAGGTGCAATGCTTTGGCCAATCACAATGCACTGTCAGGGCACAGTGCATTGTGGGGCGTGGCAGGCGAACAGCCTGCCGTATGCCCGTACCGTTCGTGTGTTCAGCGAACACATGATGGCCCATGTTCGAGTTGAACATAAGAACATACAGCCAATCACTATTGTTTTTAGTGTGGAAGGGGGAATCAAGTGATTTTCTCTCATTCAGCCCATGGGTTGAACAAGAGAAATGTACATGAGTATGGTCTTCTTAATATATCATAAAATGTTACTGTATCACCATCTCTGCATATTAATTTATCGCTCCTATGTTTATTCTTGTTTTCTTAATTTAATCTTTTTTTGTCTATCAGCCAAGAAAGGACAGAATTCCGGGAAGCAGTAGCACATTTGGAGACTAATCCGATTTGTAAAGGCCTTCCTTTTTCCTCTTTCCTTATTCTGCCCTTTCAGAGGATCACACGCCTGAAACTTCTGGTACAGGTAATATACAATGTACACCATTGTTATTGTTGACCTGTTCTTGTGTGTCATAGTGCAATAGTCCCAAACCCATCAATATCCTGAATACCAATGGTTGCCCAACAACGCTTTCAAGCTCTTGTTCTGTTAACAAGGTACAGAAGTTATTATCCATAGTAATGAGAGATGTATTGTAGAATGTATAGTGATGATCTTTGTAGCTCTATGAATAATTTCAATAGTGGTGTGTATATATTCCTTCCCTGCAGTCTTGGTACTCTGGTGAATTATTTGGTAGTTTTGGTACTCTGTTGAATTACAAGAAAGATGAAATGTGGCTTAGTCAGAAGACACAGCCTATATGTATTGTGGCTCCAGTTTTTTACATGGCATTCCAATGGTGCAGCTAGTCCTCTGGCTGGTTCTGGTCTTTGGTAGTCCTGACTCTGAAGCTGTGAAAGTGCAGACTAAGGGGTTGATTTACTAAAGGCAAACAGACTTTTCACTTTGTAATGGGATTTTCACTTTGTCACTTAACTTCATGATTGATTGGTGCATACTGCTGATTTCCATCATCCAATCATGTACAAGCAAAAATGCTGTTTTTTTTATTTTCCTTGCATTTGATTGGGTGTTCTTTACAAAGCGAAGCTTTATGACATTCACTAAGCTCTGGGGAAATTGAGTACAAACTGCACTTGCAAAGTGCTTAGTCTATTTGCTTTTAGTATATCAACCCCTATTTGTTCCCACTACTCCTTTTCATCTTGTCATATGTAGAAACCAACATATGCTTACAGTAGTTTGTGTGCAATCTGTATTGTTTTACAGTTTATTGAGGAATGCAGGAATGATAGGTATTCTTTAACAGTCAGGTTATACTGTCACCCACAGAAGGTTGGGACACTGGGAAACAATTATTAAGCCAGCCCCCGTATAAGCCTGCCTTCAACTGTCATGATTCAGTTCTTTGTCCTAAGACGTCAGACGCTTTTATCTCAGTTCTACTGTGAGAAACCCTAACTATATTTTTGCTAGCCTTATTATTATTATTATTTTTTTTTTTAGTCAAGATGTTTGGTGCACCATAGACCAATTAAGTATGCACCAATCATGATTTTCAAAAACTGCTTGAGCTAGTCACTACACAGCAACTTCCTGGATTGGCATATACTCAGAAACCGCTTTATAGGTGTACCTGTACTCAGCAGGACTGGAAGAGTGTGGGATTAGCCTGGAAAGTGACTTATGGGCACTGGGCTCTGCATTGTGGCATGTTCCAGACCATCCCTGAACAGAATCCATTTTCTAGATTTTCACAGTTCATCTTGTAGTTCTTGTCTATATGCAAAATAACATTTATCTAGTATTATTATTCCCGAGTCATCTTCCAGTGGGACTGTCTGCTCAAATCTTAACTAAAAAGTCCACATCCCGTGAACCTTTGACCCTTTCCTGGTGTGTAGTGCATTTTTCCATTCATACTTTGGGAGTGTGTGGGATTGGTTGAATTCCATTTAGCATGGATCCCCCTTTTCATGTAGCCTCTCAGTCCTTTTTGGTCTCTCCCTCTAAGTTAAGTAGTATGGAAAATGGGCAAGACACTGTCTGTTCTCTTCATACCAAATAGTTTGAGACGTTACTCGCTGGACAGAGGCCAGGGTAGAGATATCCTCCTCCTTCATACTAGAAGGAATTTGGGAAATTAATGTATCCTCTTGCCTACTGTCTGAGTCTTTTTTTCCGTCCATGAGTTAGAAGACCTCTGTTGTTGTCTTTTGATCTGACTTCTGTTGGATTTCATTTGGAAACTGCAAGATCTTCACCTCCCAAAAAATTTGAGAACTCCACCTGCAACAGACCAGGTTACCTGCTCCTTACACTGCAGTGTGTTTTAGTGTTTTATTTATAATCACACTGTCTTTCCTAGAGTAAAGTTACTGTTTTTTTTTTGTTGTGGTTTGTTGTGAAACAGTGAGGTTTCTGCACTTGAGTCTTCTTATTTTATTCCTTGCATGGAATTATTCTTCTCTGGAAGATACTCTTTTCCCCTGGAGAGTCAGAAGCCAGGACACTTTGTTACCCTGCTGCTTTCCCTTAAGTGGGATAGTGTAAATCCAAAGGCCATTGAGGACCATAAGTAGGTCCATTTCTCTGACTGAGCTGTGGTCTTCTAAGGAAATCTTTTTAAATTCCTTTTTTCCTTTACCAGATGAACATTGCTAGTGTTAGTTGTAGGATCCCTACCCCTCACACCTCGGGGAAGGATTTTGCTCCCTACAGGGGTAGTTTGGATGATTCCTGGAATCATATATTCTTAGTAACTTGTTAGGCATGTTTGCAGTGTGGCTAACACACTCTTGAAACACCTATAGGTGTTGTTTGGAAGAGCTTCTTCCCATCCTTTTGATCCTCATATTTTTCTATATCACTTTGGAGGAGAAAACTAGTGCACAGAGAATATGGTGCAGCTGTGCATAGTAACCAATCAGCCTCTAACTTCAGCTTGATTGATTAAGCTTTGACAGTAAAACCTAGGAGATGATTGGATACTATGCATGGCTGCACCAAATTCTGTGTGCGCAAGTTTTAGTAAATATCCTCTTATGTGCTTCAATATATGCTCTTCCTATCTTTTTTCAGAGGTGTTTGTGATTAACCCACCCTCCTAAGGATTCAGGGTTAGTACGCTTTTATTTTCCTACCTTAAAAATTTCTTTCCCTTCCCTCCATTCAGATTTATGCTGTGAGGTCTCTCAACTCCATGTTTATTTTAGTTGTCTCTCAGGTAGCATCCTTTCTTTCCATTGATATCCCTCCCCCAACGCATCTTAAGGCTTCCTTTGCAGCTACTATCATGTATTCACATGGAATTTCAGAGCCAAATTTCTGTTCTGGCAGATGCTGTGAACGCAAATGTGCATCAGGGGAGGATTTACTAAAACTGGAGCATACAGAATCTGGTGCAGCTGTGCATAGTAATCAATCAGGACTTATTGTCAAAGCTTAATTGAACAAGCTGAAGTTAAGTCTGGTACACAGATTGAGGTTTTTTTCGCTCAACGCAGTGCTGAATGATAAAAGAACTGAGAGATCACTATACTAAACTATGCAATGTTAGTACAGCAATCTCTCTCGCTGTGCCTTTGTGTTCTAACAGGGGGACTCTCTCCCCTGCCAGAACACACTAATCAGTACTTGCAGCAATTTACTGTGAGAGCTGATAGGATGCTGCTTTTTCAGCATGTCTATTCGACAGAAGCCAGTCCTTAGACTGGCTTCTGTCAGAAGGACAGCTGTACACTCTGTCTGGATGTCTGCTGGTTCCTGCTAACCAACATGTAAGCAGGTTGGCAATGCTGGGTATTAAGACAGCTGCTGCCCCATTTGGGACAGAAGGGGCTAACCACTTTCCCGCACTTTCTACTGGGCTCTGCCTCTCTCCCCTGTGCTGTTATAAAGGAGGGGGGGGGGGGCTCTTCTCAGACTTGTTCAGCCTGCTGCAGTAAACCAGCAAGATGTAATCCTCAGCAGCTGCTTCTGCCAGGGACAGTTGTCCCGGGCCTGAAGAGTCTTGTCTTGCGCCTACCTTACACTTCGCTGCTGTGATGTAGAAGCCTGGGGGATCACCTTGAAGACAGCAACTGCTGGACACTTCTGATAACCACGGACCTTACCATTGATGGATATTTGCAGGTATGCCGGGGGAGCATACAAACCTAAGTTAGGGTTTAGGAAGGTAGGGAAGAATTGTTCTCATGCATGTGGACTTTGTCATGTTTTGTACTTTTCTAATCAAAGTGTCGAAACTTTGCCTTTGGCTTGGTCTGAAGTTATTAAAGGAGTGCATTGCAAGTAACTGGCACACTTTACACCTAGTCTACAGCTTGGGTCACTGGACACATTGGGGTATGAAGTGACAGCACTAACAGTCATCCTGGTGTGAAGTCAGTCAAGTGGTTACCAAGAGTAGGGGAAGTCAACAGTCAATCAAGCAGCCTGTCATTAGTGTGTACTTAGTACAGGTGGGATGGCCTCTAGCAGTGAGGTAGATATTGTCGGCGCTCATTCCCAAGCAATCTGTTTCCCATGAAAACAGGAGCGGATCGGCACCACCAAGGTCCTTATCCTGTACAGAGGTTCGGAGGCTCAAGGTCTAACTTAAAGTGTTACTAAACCCAGGACCCTGCATTCACTATATCTGGTCTCCCACAGTACACACAACATGGAAGTGCAATTATTTTAGTAAATATAAACTACTAAATACCTTTTCTCATCAGTAGTTAGAGCAGTCTTGCGACTTCTACCAGTGTTCAGCAGAGCACTGGTTAAAGCTTGTAGGAGGAGTATTCTTTCTGCTCTAGGAGGATGCAAAACCCCTGACCTCTGTCTGGAGAGTGCTGATTGCCCTGTGCTGATCACATGCACTCTCCCAAGAAAAAAAAAAAAAACCTCTCTAGCAATACACACTAAAACTGAGGATGTGCAGAATGGCTGTGGGTTCAGTCTGTCTTATCAGGAGATAAGATGTGGACATTTGAACAAGAGGAGCAGAGAAAACAGGCTCAAATAGACTTTTTACACAATGTGGAGGATTAACCCCTTAGGTTCCACAGTGAGTATAACAAGCATGCTTTACTGCATATACAGACTGGTTTTACTGTTGTGGGTTTAGTACCATTTTATTGTTGAACAGACTGCTACTTAGAGGGAGTGGAAAACGCTGGCCAGGAGGATGGGTGCACATTAGAGTAGCCTTCTCACGTGACCCAGACTTGGTGCCCAACAAGTTAATGGGTAACACAGAGGTAGTTTCACCATCTTCTACCCTTCGCCACCCAGCAGCCTACAGGCCGATATTCGGACCGTGTGTACCCAGCTTTAGAAGCTGATGGGTTACCATACACAGCTGCACCAGATTCCGTGTGCACCAGTTTTAGTAAATCTCCCCTATTGTGTTCTAATTATACAAAAAAACATAAATGGGGGGCACAGATAGAGATTGTGTTCCTGGTTCCATT